AGTACTGGTCCCAGTACCGACCCTTCAGGGAGTCCCTCAAGGGACTCCACTGGACACAGGTCTCCAACTAGACTCTGCCCCATTGACCACCACTCTCTGACTTCTTCCCACCAGCCAGTTAACTGTCCATCTCTACCTGATCATCCAGTCCACACTTCCGCAATTTAGCAGCGAGGATGCTGTGGGAGACCGTGTCAAATGCCGTACTGATGCTGGCAGCGTGCTGCCTCCTTCATCCTATGAGCTTGGCAGGTACTCTCACCTACTGCTTTGGAGTCAGCAGCAGGCATTTTTGTTATTCTGAGTTTAAAGACTTTAAAATTAGCAACCCCACAGCCACCATCATTTTGGGAAAGCTGCTCAGGGGATGACTCAGTAATTGAGTTTTCTTATAAATCACATCTCTTATAATTTTTATCCTTTTACTTTTATTTTGTAACCCCTGTTTAGACAAACATCCTGCCTCAGTGCGCAGGAAAATGATTTTCCCTCTAGCACTGTTAGAATCCTTCATCCCAAGGACAGGAAGATTTCTGGGATCCAGATTCTGAACATCTGATTTTAACAAACCCATCACAGTTGCATTTACTGTGATAAATACAAAACCAAATAATTTTTTTTTATATATTAAGAAGTTGTAAAATACATTTTAGTGTCATTCTAATATGCCATATCCAAATAATTTTGAATCTGTAACAATTTAAGTTCCAAGATTAATTGACTTACCACACTTCTAAACTCAGCAGACTTAGGAATTTAAAATTTAGTAGGAAGTGTTTTAAGTGAAATCTAAAAGGCAGTGCTAAATGAAATCTGAAGTGCATCTCTGCAACTATTTGGCATATGAATTCTCAACAGGCTGGTTGCTTCTTCCCTAGCATAACTCTGTGCATCTAAGCTGTTCCTTTGCACAGTGCACATGCTCATCTTCCTTGCCTGCGTTGATCCACCACAGTACCCAATCACGCAAGCTACCCCACCACCTGCTCTGCGATTCCTGTGATGCTGGAGCTCTGTTTGTTTCCTAGGCTGCATCCTTAAACCTTGTTATTCTTACGCTATCCCATCTTTAAGTTAATATAAACCAATGTTCTTCAGGTTAAGAAAAATTGTGTTCCCTACATTATCTTGACCTTTTATAATGGCAGTGAATTAATATACATTAATTAAACACATAACATACAATAACATTGTTAATTAATGACTAATGATGACAATGATAATGTTATCTCTTATGAAAGCATGACTGCAGACATTGTGTGCGTGCATGTGCACACATCCTGAGGGTCTTAACACACACAGAAAGATTCTAAATATTGTTCTTTAAAAAGTAATTTATTTCTTATGAAGAAAGCAGAATTAGGATCTTGCATTAAAAAATCTGTATTTTTAGTAGCTAACATAGCAACAGGTTGCTGCATTCAACCCTCTACAGATAGATCATTATAGAATTATTATGGCTATCAGGAAGGTCACACACACCCAGTCACAAAGTGTGGAATTTCCCCCCAAATACTGATAAATCTTTTGTGTCTTCTCTATTTTAAAGGGCAAAGCACACATACCCTACTAAAAAAAAAAAAGAATAAACCAGAGAATTGTCACAATATAGCTTCTCATTAATTCTCCCTTGAAACTCCCATACGTCCTGATTAGAAGACACATAAAAATGTCTAGAAAGCTGAGTTAATTGTACATCTGTCCTAGTTCATTAAAAAAATAAAAAAACTTCTCAAATGGCATGTGTGTGAAGTTTCTGAACATTCATTCAATAATTAAGAAACATAAAAAAGGTGGAAGACGAGAACTATCCAAATGATATCACTATGGAAAATACAATTCTAGCTCTAAAATGTTGTTTCCCTTTTTATAAAAATATTTGCAACTGTGCAGAAAATTTCAAGCCAAGTACACTTCACATCTGCAAATGGCCACAACTGTTAGAGTAACGACAGGTCCTGTGTATTCGAGAAGTACTAATGGTTCTGATTTAAAATTTATTAATGACATCAGAGGTATGTCCAGTTCAAGCTCATAGTTTCAATGGAAGAGAAAGCAGAATATGCTCAAGTCTTTTGTGGTTCATTAATAAATAAGAACAAAACCAAGAAACAATCAGTTCATACACAGTAGTTTGTTTGTTTGCTTCTAAGAATTTTGGCCTGATCTAACACTTCTGCAGGTGCTATCTCTTGTTTAGGCATTGTTTCTGGAAAAAATACAGGGGAATTGACTCTTTTGAAAGACACACTATCTTTCTGTCAACCTAATACTGTACACTGTACAGTATATTTTATTTGGTTGGGAATCATCAGTGTCAATATCTCCCCTGAATATACTTACTAAATGTGTGATGTGTGGCATAGGACTGTGCTGATAAACTAACCTAGTGTTCAGTACATTTACAGAAGAGACTAGATTATCAGATATATCAAGAAAAGATTGCACTCTAAAGGCCCCAGCTTGAAAGAAAGAGAAAAATCAAAACACCCAAATTGTCCCCCCAAAATCACTTCTTCATCAGCTGCTGGAATGCAGGCAATCCTGCTTCCAATTCAGAACTACATTTGGAAGAAATTTTAAATTATTAAAGTATGTGCAGTGAAATATATGCAGGTTTGCCTTTTAAATCTCCCTTCTGATAGTGCTATGTCAGGACAAGATTCTCACTTCATCTGAACTGCAAAATACTGAAGTCTCTATACAGTAAAACCACATTCCATTACTGTGCATGTTTACAATTTGCTTCTTCCAGGAGCCACTCAATTCCACTTAGCAATCCAGCTAAAGTTGCAGCTACAGTGTCTTGCACCTGTAAACAGAAAAAAAAGAAAGGTATTAAATCTACTCTGGAACATTATACTTACTTTATGGATGAGAATCTACTTGAAAATTCATCTAACTCTTAAAGCAAAAAGGCTACTAGCTTTGGAATTCAATGCAAATTATTAATTCTCAAGATTTTGTAACGTATTATAAAGTGGCTATTATAAATGGTATGTTTTTAAGAAGCCTGTAAACATTTTCCTTATGAAAACAAAGGAATTACCTCAAATCAAGATTTTGGGGTTTTTTATGATTAAGTATTACTCCTCGGCTATATAATGTCACCAAAAATAAATTATGTGTGGCTGAGCTGTACTGATAAATACTGTGTTTGACAAGCGAAAAATAACAGGTTCAGGACCTCATGTGCCAGGTAAAAAATGAATTTACCAAAAACTCAATACATCACATAAAGGAAAGCATTGTTAACAATTAACAGTCTCTGGAAAATGGCAGAAAAAATCTACCTTGTGTCCAAGGCCTTGGGTCGTGGCTCGTGAAATTTAGATTTAAATTAACTGGAGCTTCCTTACTCCTTTCAAGACCACCTTTTCGTCCTTCATTACATTTTGTCCCCCTCTGAAGTTTCTTGTGTGTTCCTGGGAAAGCCACTTAGCTCTCCTATGTTCAGATAGGCTGATGCTTCAGCTTAGATGATGAGAGAAACTAAGTTCTTCACTTAAGTGGAGAACTCATGTACTAGTGTTGAAAGCTGCACACTTGCTTAGGTAGGTACAGTTCAGGAACTAACATAAGCCTAAATTAAATTTAAGCCACAGAGAAACAGAAAATAAGGTTTAAAAGCAAGTACCATCCAGGGCTGACGCAGAAGATTTAGTTGCAACTGATGTGCCATGTAAACACATGGAATTCTTTTCACACCAACGTGGGAGACACAAGACAAAATTAGCAAAGGTCTGTTAGGAGGTCCAAGGGCTGGATCAATCATTGCCAAAATACGAGCCAGTTCCTCTTGACGATCATGCTCTAAGAAACAATTTTTAATATATGAGTATTAAATATATGCAAATCCCAAGGATAACTTTTTTTAACTTTTCAAACATTTTAAGATTTCAGAGGTGAGGAAACAGAGGGCTGGAAGGAACATGGCCAAATTATCCAGTTTTGCTCATCACAAGGCTGTATCTCAGCCTTCATCCCACACAGATGTTCATGTCACACTTAGATGTTATTTAGAGATCCACACAGATTCTACAGGCAGCCTATTCCAGTCCATAACATCAGAGCAATTTCCAAGTACCTCACAGAGATCAAAACTGCAACAAGCCATTAAGAAACGCTCACACACTGTACAGTCAGCAGCCCTGACTGCACTTTTCTCCTTAGTACATTCCTTTGCATTTTTTTTCCCTCTTCTTTTCTGAGCTAGTCCTTTTCCTTCCCTTAAAGTTGATGAATGTAAAGACAATTACCATAATAAGCATTTGGATTATCCTCTTATAGCACCATCCTGATTTGGACTAATTGCATCTTTTAGAGCAGTCTTCCTGGTGAAGGTTCTGTTTCCAGGCTACTACACCACTACCAATGCATTTCAGGCTTCTTCTCCTACCCATGCCAGGGTTTGTTTTGTTTTGTTTTTTTTTAATCCAGATCATTTCCCACATATAACTCAGACAGCAACCATATCAGCATGTGCCATAAACAAAAGAAGGGGCCACAACCCCTCGCAGGGAGATGAGGTAGAGTGCCCAGGATAGGGGACCTCTTTAACTGGATAAGCCATGCAGAAATAGTGCTAATGAAGCAGATTTTGAAAATATCAGATAATGGAATTTGATGTATTGCATATTCTTGGCAATCTTATATGACAATCCAATGATTCACAAAATATGAATAAATAAAGAGAAACCCCTTACTTTTATGAGCTTCTGCATTAGCAACATAAATGAATCCATCAACTACTTCGCACACCTTTCTCACTTGAGCTATTACACCGTAGTGCACGGCTTGCTGATTCCCTACTATGCTGTTCTCTTGGTAGAACATCTTATTCACAGCAGCAGCTTGCTCTGCCCTTGCTCTCTTCCTTTCCACACTGAAAGATATTTCAGCAGTCAGGTTAATCAAGAATACAAAAACTCAATTTTGAAAGTCTAGGCAGCACAGGAAAGGGACAGGAAAATGGCCCAAGCCAGCAAAATAGTTAATTTCCTCACGCTTCCTCCCATCTTCACCTTCTTTTCTACTGTACATATACAGATGGCTAGCAATCTGCAAGATGCACATGAAAATACACCCCAAGATGAGTTTATATAGTGTTTCAAAAGGAAATCAATCAAGGTATTAAGAGGGATAGAAGCACTTGTTGTGTATTTGTGATACACATTTGCCAGGTGTAAGGTCTGGAAAAGGCTGATTACTTCCATGTGAAAATTTAGTGTTTGGAGAAAGAAAAAGGGAAGATATGCATTGAAGCTTCAGTTTGTAAGGGATATCAATGCATGCAAATACATGCATTGAAATCAGGTGAAAATGTGAGGAAAAGTATGAAATAGTCAATAAACTGCGCTTTTATTTTGGTGGAGAACAAATCTTACCTGGTGGTTGAATACAACGTCAGAATATTGAATTTTTGATTGTTATTAAACTGAAAACTGATTCCTGATCCAATTCCTACAGGAAAAAAAAATGAAAATATGAGATTACAACTATTTGATTACTGAATACAACTAAGTTGTAGGTTGAAAATTCCAGTGTTGCTACAAAATGAATATGTCCAAGCCTAAGTGTTGCTGTTAGGAGTAGCATATTTACTATTTTACAATGAAATTTTATACATGCTCTAATTGATTAGACTATTAATTTAATTAAAATAAATTCAATAGTATTAGGAGAAAACAAGGAGACATTTCCATGTTTCTGATACTTAGACTTGAACCTAGAAATATAAGTCAGAGGGGAGCTAGACTTGCATTTATCACCCGAAACTGGCAGAGCAAAGGCTCTAGTTTCTTTATGACAAGCTGCATTGAAAAGGACATACGAGAGAAAAAAGATAACAACACTAAGAAATAATATTTTCACATTTTCGATAAATACAATTAATTGATTCCAGTTCTGCTGTGCTGAAATAAACATTAGTTAAAAAGTAATTTTTTTTTCTCTCTGGTTTGGACTGAAGTGAAATTACAGATGTTCAAAACTTTTAAACATTGAAAAAAAGCCTTCACCTGCTCCTGTAACTTTTCTAAATGAAATTTACACCACTTGACACCACAAGACTGAATCATATAAAGGATCAGTCTTGACTTCCTGTATAAAAACCCAAGTGTGTTTTTTAGCCACTTAGTGCAAGAAGTATCCAAAGAATAGTTCTGCCTGTATTTATCCATTACAACAGCAGGTGTGACATGGAATCCAAACAGAAGTACAAGGAGCAAAATAGTCCCTCTGACATTGTGCAAATTTAATCTTAACTTCACTAGAGCTACAGTTTTATCCCAAATGTTAATTGCATTTATCCTTCTGAATAAATACAAGGAGAGATTTTTTTTTTTTTTTTTTTTACCACTACGCTATTGAGTTTCAAGGGAAGAAAAAAGGATCCCTTTTCTCCATTTCTCCCCCCATATTTTTTTGTGTTGCATCTGTTTATGAAACAAAATGTAAAAAAAAAACCAAAACAGCATTACCATGAATTTGCCTTTGAGGTAGGCCAGCTACTAGCAGAATTTCTGGGCTTGTCATCATCTTTTGCACTAAAGAGTCGTCCAGCTCTTCCAAACCTGGCCCAAACATAGCAAAGCGAGGTTCTGCCTGAGTGACCAATGATTGCAAAAAAGAAGTCACAGCCCCATAACGGGGATGGCTTGATTTCAAACTTCTACTCTGAGGACAGCTTTTTTTATATCTGTGTAAAATAGATGCAATAAGAAATTAAACACAAGGTATTAATCAAACAACATAAAGTGATGCAGGTCCCACACTTCTCATGCTTTGTTATTGGTGCAACTCAAGCAGAGGTCAAAAATGATAACAGTTCCAAACTCATGGTCTGAAGCGCCAGTACAAAGCAGGCAAAGGCATCAGTCCTTCAAAGGCCAAATACTGACTTTCTGGACCTTAGTACCCTTCTGTCTATGGATCTTTTAGTTTACTTTATAAAGCAAAATAAAATAAAATTACAAATTGCCCCACCCTCGCTTGACATACAGTATTGGTAAAATAACATCAAAGCTGTTAAGTCACATACAGTATAAAAAATATGAGACTTTTGAGTGCATTACGTTGCACATTAGGAAAAGGTTCTTGACCCAGAGGGTGGTGGAGCACTGGAACAGGCTCCCCAGGGAGGTGGTCATGGCACCAAGCCTGACAATATTCAAGAAGCATTTGAACAACACCCTCAGACACATGGTCTGAATCTTGGGATTGTCCTAGGCAGGGACAGGAGTTGGACTCGATGATCCTTGTGAGTCCCTTCCAACTCACAACATTCTGTGATGCTATGATTTCAAACCTTAATTAGACTGTTTTTGCATTTACGAACTATGAAACACATAACTCCTCCTGAAAAGGACCATTTCCCCTGTAGACACAAAGAATGCATGCTGTGAAAGGAGACAGGGGCTGTCTGCAAGCTTATGCGCTCATTTGCTGCAGAAGCTAGAAGGCATGAAAAGACTTTGGTAATCAAGGGAAAGAAGTAATAAGTCATAGAAGTGACAGACATCCTAGAGAAGCAGCTTCAGACCTCACTTCTGTACTCATGGTAGACTACTGCTGGACAAATCACTTCAAGGAAACACTAAATATGTGCTCCTTTACACCCAAACAGAGATGCTTTAGCTGAGAACAGCAAAACCATTAAGTGCTCTCAGACAAAATGGAAATCAGTGACAGGTGATTTCAAATAGGTGATGCTCTGAAGTGTTCAAATCTAAAGAGATTTAAATCCAGTGCTCAAAATCAGTAGATATTTTGCACTTCAAATTCTGAGTGTGTCTTTCCCATCTGTGAAGTAGGGATGAAGGGCACAGAGATTGCAGAGGTTAGTGCAGTTATTAAGAAGCAACAGTTTCACTAAATCACCTTTGGAGAATTTAACTGTAAATTAAAAAAAAAAAAAAAACACAAACAAAAAAAACCCCCAAAAAACCTGCAAATTAATCAAGGGAATTGAACAAAGTTTTTAAAAAAATTCCACAAAATAACCTGCTTGTCTCATCCAAACGCGTTAAGAATTTTCAACTATACTAGATAAACCGTGGCCTTTGTCTTAAGGCCTTTGACCATCAGATCTAAAGCGATACACTTGTTATGCTGCGTGCATTCAAAAAACCTTTTCTTTTTAAACCTAGGTCTTCAAGGTAAGATGAAAAAAACACAGACTCATTCCATTTGTTGTAGTTTGAAGATTTCTTAGTACTCTTATTAAAGTAATAAATCATTTGTTGTTGTACCGAGAGCAAAGAATGCATTTTTATCAAAAGTACACACAGCTTCCGAGGTAACACTATTTCTGCAGCACAGCAGAGAAGCAGCTTACAAAAAGCTTTAATTTTTTAGCTTTGACTTTTTTAACATTTTAAATCTTTGTTGAATTCAAAAGAGCTGACCAAACTGTCAAACAACAGGGAATTTTATTTCCAAAATAAACAGTGGATTGGAGACACATAAAAACATAAGCAGCAGCTTACAGCACAGCTTTACTGTTGTGAATATGAAACCTGTCTGTGGGCTGAATATTACTGCTGCAGAGAAACTGTAAGTCATGTAAAAGAATATGAAGATACTTACACTGCCATGTAATCGTACAGCTCATTATCGCTGACCTCTGAAAAGGCTTTATTAAAAACCTCCACATCTGGGAGTGATTTCCAATCAATGGATGTCCAAAAGGGGAGATCCCTCAGGAGAAAATATCTCCACAACAACGGATCTCGCACAGCCGCCCTCCAATAACAACTGGTACTTCCCAAATGGCACAAATCTTGGGGTGAGAGGAAGGACATGATGTTCAGCTGCACGTCGATCTGAAAATCAGGTTTAACGACCCAAAAACCGAGCAGTGAAGAATCAAGAGATGGGATGCCGAGATTTTCCCCCCCTCCCTCTCATCTCCCTGACTGGGCCTCACTCACCGGCAGTGCCTGCAAGGGGCTCACCTCCTCCGGGAGCGCTGGAGGCGGGGGACCCGCAAACGCGGCGGTACCGCC